TGACCAGGTTTTGTTTATTGCACTGAGATCCCTTTCACCGGGTGTACTGGAAACAGGAATTGATAAAAAATATGAACATAATATTGATGGTTTTGAGAAATGACCTTGATGAATTCTCCGCATTCTAAAATGGTTAAATTCAATTTCTTTTATTACTGACTAAAATCCGTTAAACCAACATTAAAAAAAAAAATTTTGATAGGTCTTACATAAACTTCATCATTATTTTGAAGGAATTAATCTTTTCAGGTTGCAAGTCTATTCAAACATGCGCCCATACTAACGCTGTCATTAATTCTAATGCTAATATCCGTATTCAAACCCGTATCAAAATCTTACTATTACCTAATAAAAATATACTACAGCAGTCTAAACCAATACCGCAATCCCAGATATGATCTGGTTAAGCCTGCTAAAATTTTTACCTTAGGTAAATAATATACTGTATATATATATATATATATTTATATGAAATTGCCAAAATCAATTATTTTATCAAAAATCTAAATAAGAATTATTTATTATCATGGATACTATTTTACCAAGTCTATTCCTTTTCTTTATAAGTGCATTTCCAGCTGATGAAAACAACCTCTCGTATGGTATTGAGCTTACTAGTATTGCTAAGTAAATGCTTGCCTGCACAGGAATGTAAAATAATATTATCCAAACTATTAGATGGAATAGTAGTCATATTAGAAATCTCTATGTCGTTTTTTTATCATTCAAAAAATTATCAGTATTTGTCCATTAAAAATCATTTTCATTGTCATCAAAAGACTCGCCATAATTATTGCAACCTCGTTCACTATTATTATCATTATTACCAACTAATTTTATTATAAATTTACTAATGGTTCATCTTTAATACCATTATTATTACCTCCTATTCCGCTACGAGCATTATGTTTTTTTTAGACAGCTAGTTTTACAAAAAGTAAATCAGCAGACTGACATCACCAGTTTGTAATGATAAGATTGACTGCATAAAACTTACAATGTGAAAACCAAATCCCGTGTTCTCTATACACATGTTGCAATCTCTGTTACAATCTCTCTTTACTTTTTTCATTGAATAAAACAATTAACCCGCGACAAAAACTTTAAGTTTAATATTAATAGAATTTACGATTTTACATATTTGATATATACGTGATATCTACATTAATAGAACTATTTACCATATTTAACAGTTTTACGTTGTTGAACAACAGCAAAGTTATCAGAGTTATATTGTCCTAAGAAAAGAAACAACTTTAAATGGCTTTGTCATTATGGATATTAATGAGCCAAAGCTCCTTCTTTGACGTAGTTACGGAATACCAGTATTTTTTTGTACATGAGTTTGAAAATTTTTTTTAAAGTTAATCTGCTCATGCTGGGATAAATAGAAGCCTATATTTATTAGCAGTAAATATTTTATTATTTAAATCTAATGATCATTTTAATAATTTTGAACATAAAATTTTCGAATTATTTTCTTTTGTCCCTTTATATGTACTTTTCCAAGGCGCATAAATGTGGCTTCTAGGGTTGCTTCACTATACTCTTTTCCAAATGCTTAAAACGCCTCTCTTCTAACTCCTCCGAATTAATTAATTTCGAATTACTTTGATATTATATTAAATAGAGCCCGAGCTTCCTATTGGTATCCTGTGAAATAGCTTAATTCGAAATTCGCCAGAAACGGAAAGAAAATACATATTGCAATCAACAAATCAAGGAAATAAACAAAACAAATGGCATAAACTCTTTTGTAAAGTTTTATGAAAGCACATATTTATTTCCTGTAGGAAATCCTTCTCGTAGTAGCCGCACGTGTCAGTTCTTGATGAAAAAACCTTGATGAAATCGGATCACCAAAATTCGCGGCTATAGTAACTGAGTTAGCCAAAGAAATAGTTTCCCTCGTATATTTAATCTTAGGTGTATTGCTCACTGTTCCTAAGAGTTTCATCGTGTAATCGAATAATTAAGTTTTTAAAAAATAATATCAAGATTATTAATAATTATAATATTGTTGATGGATGATTAAAAAATATTCTCAAACTCAGTGGACATCAGTCTATGACATTTTATTATCAATTGCACGTTTATAATCATGCTTTATTTCAAATCTAATTAAAAAGGGATATAATTTTTTAATGGCGCGTTCAAAATATTTTCAATGAGAGATTCTGTGACAGTTTTGCAGTCAGAAAACACAAATTTTGCCAATTTCTATCTAGATCTTGTTGAGTTAGCCATTGTGGAAAATTCTGTATTAATAAATTTAATTTACGTTGGAAGGAATTTAATCACGCAAGGTATCTATATTTCTTACATTCCGGTTATAAAGAAATTGGATTCAATTTTAAAAAAATCTCATTTAGAATTACTTTCTCAACTGTAGAAATATGAATTATAACGAAAATCTTATAATGCAACATATAACGATCAATATGATGGTCATATTTTCATTGTGATATAGTTGTGAAGATAATTATGACCATCTACACCAATTAACAATTAAATTATGGTGGATATGAGCGCATTTTTTCATATTTAGGTGACTTTATTTACGGGAAGAATTGTCAAAATCGAAATATTAATACCTGTAAAAATTTATTGGATAATGATGAAGGTGGGTGATTATCAAACTTAACGTATTTTTTTCCAGTTATATATTTTCTTGTTCTGGGTATATTTTAAAGATGGAAACCGCAATTAACCGCGATCGCAATTAATTGAGGAGCCATCTTTAGTATATTTTATTATTATGATAAAAAAAAGAGCCATCTTTGAAATTCCATTCCACGTGAAAAAAGATTAACAAAATGGAAATAATGTCAGTTAATTTGGTTTTTTAATATTTTTAAAGATTGGCTTCATACTATTACTATTTTTTTTTTATGCATTTTCTATTATTTTTTATATATATTTAAAAGTGTAATGATTAAATTAAAGGTATTTATTTATTTATGCATTAGCAGGATCTGATGGAGATGGTATTAGTATGTAATATACACTCCCTGGACAAAAGTTTCGGTCACCACAAAACAATTAATTACGCAAAAATTTACATAATAAAACACAAATAAATTTCATCAAATTGTGATTAAAGTTCTCAAGAATGTGTATGCAAAATTTCAAATTTTTGTAATGTTTAGGAGAATAACAGTTAAAAAAATAAAAGTTTGACCAAAAATAATTTTTTGGAAATGATCTCTAAAATTTTGATTTTATTTGCAAGTATTTATACCACAGTAAATAGCAAAATTATTAATAAAAATATTTATTTTTGTCGAGAACAAAATTACGTTTCCCAATTTTCTTGCATTATCACTGCAGTAGCACCTTCGATTGAAAGATCCGCCTGTATATTAGGCAGATTCGATGGCTTAACACATTATGCACAGCATAGTGGAAATTTGAAATGTTACACTAATTTTTTATATTGTGCAACATAGCTTTACAATACACGGCAAACCTTCTGGCAATAAAAAGTAAGTGATAAACTGGATTTGAATTTGATCCGAACTTG